AGTACCCATACATATTGATGAAATGTTTTTCTGTAAAAATATTAGTTTTTCTGGGTTCAGTTTCTGTCTTCAGTTAAAAAAAAGAGAAAAAAAAGCTAATGGGAAAGCATGGAGATACATGTTTACATTTGAATCATTTATGAAGGAAGCTGTGAAAGAGTTATCCTTCCAGCTGTGTTGCCTTTTCCTTTAAGAATAATAATGAATATTATAGACCTGTTTTATGGGAATATATTTATATTCTTCCCATATTGTTTATTGATAATAAACGTAAGCAACACACAAGCACACAGGATATAGCCAGATGTTGAATTGTATTTTTAAATAATGATTATACGATAATTTCTACCTTACCTCCTTCCACCTGTGTCAGGGCCCAGAGGCAGGACTGAAATGTTTCTTTGCACCACATCAAGGTTACTCAATGAGGGTAACTGTGGATACAGTGAAGATTTATTAAGACATGAGCCGCCTTCTTAAGCCTTCTTCCTCAACCTTCACTGCCAGATGGGAGAGGAGCTGTCACCCCAACCAGCCTGCTCCCCCCCACATGTGTTCACACAGAGCACCCATTACCTGCATCTTCCATTAGCACGCTGACTGCTGCCCTCACACTGCGAATAAGAGAGGGGCTCCAGGGAGCAACCTCTGTCATGCAGGCTAATTGTGGCACTATGCAGCAGTAGACACTGCTGAATCACTTAACTTGAAAGAGCCCATTTACTCCATTTTGCTGGCTGTGCCGTGAATGTAGATAAGCCGGGACCACAGCTTCATTGGTGGCAGCGCTGTCTCTTCACAGACTGTGCTTAGGAAAGGGCAATGACATGTTCAATAGCTTTAGCAATCAAAAGTGCAAGCCTGGAAACACTTCTCATTCTGCGCCTTAAATAACAAGGCCTCTTTTTTTTTTTTTAGCATTTTACACGTTATTTTTTATAAAAACCTCTCCTGTGAGAGGATAATTAGAACAGGTGAATACCGTACTTTCTACCATTTGGCTGGGGAGTTAACTGCAGAACAGACGATAAAAGAAGGTGTAAGTGTTCTATGCACATCCCCAGGCAATAATATTGCATCTAAATATAGGGTTTGTGTTGCAATACAACAGAACGGATATTTGTGTCATAACCGGAGCAGGTACAGGTGCTAAAAGGAATCCAGTAAATGATTCATTGCCAAAAGGAAAACCTTTTTCTCTTCTGAGCTTTTAAAAACAATCGACAGGACAAAATAAGTGAATAATTATGTAAGTATGATTTTAAAATAAATCAGTCCATGCAGTTCTGATTAAGCTTTACAATAAATTCACAGAGAATATGAATCCAGAAAGACTTTTTCATACTGTCATTATGCTGTATTGTGTACTGCCCACATTAACATGGTGGCTAAGCTGCATGGCTATCTGATTTCAAGAACAGATGAAATAATAAAGCCTGACAAATTATTCCTTTTGTGAGTTTCTCCCTCAGTTTGTTAATGCAGCTACGTTCAGTTTCTAGTTTGATTGGTTAATATATCGCATGGGAAGGGGACCATAATCCTTTTAGTGGAGAAATCCATGTAGCAATGTACAGTTTTATTTATTTAGGTATTCACTCTCCATCTGAAATTCACTTTCCAGATAAACTGATTTGTATTGTAGATTATCAGATTATTAGACCCCCATCACCATCACCACTGCCACAAGGTTCCTGTATTTTGTCCAAATTGAGCTCTCAGCTGGCTACTTCCTCAAAGAAAAAGTCCGTGTTGCCATAGCAATCAGTGCCATTAGACTGCACTGGGATTTGCAAACGTTATGAACATTTACAAAAGACCACAAAACCAGTAGTAAAACAGGTTTCTCTTTTTCGTTCCCTCTTAGGGAAAAACAGATCTTTAAAAAAATTCATAATTGAATATATTATATGTTTTAATTGCAATGGATTTTTTGTTTTGATATGCAAATGAACATGACAGTAAACTCTGTTCAATTCAGTCTATTGTGAAGACAGTGTGCTGAACACGTTTAGTTTACTGATTTACACACTCAGTACAAAAGAAGTTTCCTTCCAGAAGAATATAAGATAATTATGTTCTGATTAACATAGAAGCATGTGTCCTCTCCATTAGAAAGATCCCAATCAGAGGGGTGACTATGAGGCACAATAATAGGTCCTGCCAGAGATCTGTGCCCACATGAATCCCATTATAAGATGTAATAAGTCTAATAAAAACCTTGCAAGTACAGTAATTGCATTCTCCAGTAATTCCAACAGTCACGCTGCAGGAAAGAGCTCGAGAGGGTAAAGGGGCTAAGTGCTTGATCTAGGGAAATAGAATGAGTTTCTCCACACAGTGGTCCCTGAGAGCCATCTTGCAGAACAGCGAGGAGAAGGACCACAGGTCCACATGCATGAGTGTGTGGCTCATTTCACAACTTCTACTGCTACACCTCCCCAAAATACTGGAAGAGCACTGACAGACCACTAATGCTGACATCTGTATAGTTGATTGGTTCCTTCCACAGTAAAGAGCTTTGTCTTGATGTGAAGGGCACTATATTTATTAGTAGTAGTAAAAATAATATCGCACCACAGTGGTGATGGTGCTAGGCATGTGTATCTCCAAAAAAACATGTGTATGTTAATTTAGTGCTGACAAACAGCTTGTGAGCCCCGGAGGCTGGTCCATATTCTCCTATGCTTTATCCTAAAACTTAAGTAGATCTTCATGAAAGTCTTACTAAAACATGAAGATTAAAAGTATGAAACAAAGAAATAAGATGTATTTGGATTATTATTTAACAAAGGAATCAAATTACAAAAATTCCTGTCTGAATAAGTCTGTGATTCCTTAGATGCAGTAACTGGTGGCATTACCAATTCAACAGGATGTTTCCTGTAAAAGTTCTGTAAATCAGTCACTCACATTAGTTTTTCAGAAATTTGTCCCACTCTTCCTTGCAGATCTGTTTAATTTAGATTGCATTTGAGGACTTCCCTGAATGCCCCAGCTTGCATGCAATTTTTTTTCTCTATCCTTTCTGTTTTAGATCTGCTTGTATGATTAGGACTATTCTCTTGCTGCATGACCCACTTTCGCTGATATTCTTTTCCATGATTAGGTTGGCCTGACATTCTCCTCCAACCTTTTCTGGTACAACAGTATACTTATGGTTCCATCAATGATAGCAAGTTGTCTGGGTCTTGAGGCAGCAAAGCAGCCCCAAACCGTGATCCTTATCTAACCATGCTTGTCAGTCGGGATGAGGTTCTTCTTTTGGAAAGCAGTGTTTGGTTTTCACCACACAAGACGTTTCACGTTGTGGTTGTTCAGCTTTTAACCCACAAGCACAAGCCAGCAAGAATGCTTCTAAAACAATCAAAACCACTGAAAAAAGCACTCGGAAATGTACCTTCTTCAATATTATATGTTGCTTAGGTAAATTTTCAAGTCAACTGCAAAATGCTTTAAAAATGGTATTTAAATGAGCATGCATTTCAGGACAGTGTAGGGTTTGGGTTACAAGAATCATTGCGTGTTGACTCCAGTTATACATTTAGTTGCACTTGAAATGAGAAAAATGAGTTTACCCAGTAGAACAGGTTTTCACATCACTTTTCATCTGACTAATTTTTGGAGTGCAGCTCCTGAGTAGTGCAACATGCAATTTGAGGACCCGAACGTCTTTGGAAAAAAAAGTTTAAGATACTGAAAGTTTTCATTACTCTAGCATGTGTTCCCAAAGCTGTTGAAGAAGCTCAAGGAATCCCTGACCTAATGAATACAGAGGCTGCTGTCAAGTTGGAGTATTAGAAATGTTCCTCTCGGCTCCTTGGCTGCTGAAGTTGCTATGGAGAGTTTCTGTTGTGGTAACAAGGGCGCAGATGGAACGGAGAACAATGGGATTTCTTCCTTCGTGCTTCTCCTCACAGTCCCCGCATGTGCAACGTTTTCAAAATTCTTCAGACAGGAATTCACCATAAACATCTTGCTAATGCAGGCTTCTGAAACAGCTGGTAACCCCACTACTCTGAAGGTAGGATGTGCTGTGCAACAGTGTGTTTACAGCAGTTAGGAAATCATTTCAACTGCTTGTTTAGTGGGATAGGCAGCGGCTGTGTGTTCTGAGTTGCTCTGTGTAATGCCTACTGTGTTGCATTTGTAGTAAAGGGAGCTTATCTTACTAACTCCTAGCAACCGGGTTCGCAGGCTGCTTGTGCAGGGAGTCTACTGGCTGAAATGAAATGGTTAGACTGTCATCATTGAAATTGAATTGGACTGAAACTGAGTTTGTCATGGGCTTCTAAGTAACAGGTTACAAACTAAATGGCTCGGTACTACAGGCCCCACACGACCACGGTGAGTACTGGAAAGTGAAGGCAATAATAAAACTAAAGCAATGTGATTTTGCTTTGTTTTGACAGTACTGTATAGAGGTATTCTAAATTAATTCAGATGTAGACTGGTGATGTACAAATAATGTAACTTTGACAAGATTACTAACTTAGCTTGCCTTTTGCACGATCACACGTGGTTTAATTTAACATGACAAAATTAAAAAACAATATTCTTATGTTTTCTTTTTTTTTTCAGTTTAATAACGGTTCACACTGGCTGCCTAAGCAGGGTTCTCTTTCATTTAACTAAATATGGAAAAAGAAAAAAAACAGCAGTATGTGTATAGTGTTTCCTGTTTCTGAAATAAACACATAACCATAGGAGTCGATAGTTAAATTTAAGGAACAATGCATGCCACACCAAGCCTAAGTATGTACTTTATTAACTTAGTTTATTAAACAGAAAAACCTACTGTATCTCTGGTCCTGTTGCCATGTTTTAAGAATGTTCCTGTGAATCTTACCTCCTCTCGGCCATTCCTTAATCACTTATACAAAGACAGTCATTATAAATGGTACAGTACATGGGATTTTATTTGTAGCTTCCAGGAGACTTGATTTACTTTTACAGTGTATGAGTGTTAGTATGGCTCTCAACCAAGGCTTTCTCCACAGCTCCAGAAAAACAGGCACAATCTCCCATCACACGATGCCCTCGCAGAGATTCTCCCTGAGTACAAGTTCCTCTTCAAGGCACCTGTTCCCTCCAGGGTTGGACCCAGTCATTCTGGACAGCACAATCCCCACACGCCTCCTGGACCAGCACAGACTGGTCAGCAGGGGCACCCAGACACAGACCTGTTAAACCAGACTTACAGGCCTGATTCTTCAGACAGGAGGTGAGCACCACTGCACCAAATGGCGTTGAAGTAGAAGGAACTGTAAGTACTGTATGTGGAATGTCATATAGCACTTTAAGGCACTGGTTTTCCACATAACAGGAAAGCAGTTGAAATGAAACTCTACAGCAAGCCCTAATGATTACTGAACTCTGGACAGCAAAAGGCCTGGTACCTAGTACTTCAGAGATTGGACTTTGAGACTGGGAGGAACAGGCATGGCTTTTCATTGCCATTCTGTATCTCATGAAGGTGAGGAAAATACTAACCCAAACACTACAGTTGAATCATGAGGGGAGCAAAAAGTCCTGTACTAGTTTTCTTCAAAGGATCCATCTGCTTTGGCTTGATAAATTGAACCAGAGCTCACATGACGAGATTTCACAAAACAGACATTTTCCCAGGTATGCCTTGGGCGAGCATTGTTTTTCCAAACCATTTTATACTGCTGAAGTCATTGGGCTCAAGCTGAAGTGCATCTCAGTGTGAACAAACTGATCAATGAATGTGGTAGACTACAGAGGAATTCTCTTACCTGCCCAGGGGTGCTGTTGTACTGGGATGCACTGAATTGTCAAACAGCATACACGCTTCTTTTGAGTCTAAACAATAAGGCTTTGTTTTAAATTACAAAAGAATAATTAATATAAATGTTCAATTTATGTTTTGCTCTGCCTTGCAGAGGTTCACCCTGTTTATCTAGAAAAGTATATGAGAATGGTTATAGAGACTAGCATTAGCAAGATAGAATGTAGGCATGAACACAGGCTTTTGAAGACAAATCATTTTCTGATAAATTGTTATATTACATTTACCAACAAAACAGAGTAACGTTACATTTGCTAGTTAGGCCGAAAGGTCTCATCTCAATTAGAACCTTTCTTATGTTCCTAACAAATTTTTTAATTTAGGTTCACATTTTATGGAAAGATGATTATAAAGTGATTTTGCTCTACATGTGTCTGACTTACCGGACTAGTCCAGGGTCAAAAGTAAATGTTTAAAATGTTTTTTTTTCTTTAATTGAAACAAAATTAAAAAGGGTGGGATAAGTCTAGTAACTCACCGATTCAAAAACTTGTGGTCTTCTTCTGTCTGATTATTCAAAATGCTTTAAAAAAAATTACACTTGCAAATCCACATCAGCCTTTTGCATGAGGCCATCGTTGTCTAAAAGCCCGTATGAGACCTATATAATGACATTCAGCTCTGTCGTGGATGTTTATTGTCTTTCTCTAAGGCCTGGTGTACCTGGGATTGAAGACAACAGCCATGCAGCAGACGTTACTGCACACGAAGCCAGGGTGAGTGCAGTGTGATCAAGAGAGAGAACAGTTCCCATCACATGCAGTTGCTCATGACTGCTTTTCACAAGGCCAGAATTATTGGTGCTCTTGTTTTTACGGCTGATGATGTAGAGTGGCACATGGTGTTAAAAAGTTAAAGCACGTCTACAGTACATACAGTAGGAAATCAAATCACATTGCACATGAGCGTGGCAGCTGAACCCTGCGGTGATGTTTCTTGGTGCAGCCTAGTGGTCGGACAGTCCCGTTGTGATACTGGAGGAGTAGACAACAGGGGGCAAACTCCCTTTTGGTGCCTGATGGTTCTGTGGCTTTTACGATGGAGTTGATCGTTCAAATGAAATCGGAGAAGGGGGTTTGTTGGGGTCTTGTCTGAGCTCCTATAGGGACCAGCTTCTCTTGAATCTCTTGATTCCCTCTCACACGGGAGGAAATTGTTCAGGTCTCATTGTATTGATTCTTGCTGTACTTTGAAAAGCAGACTGCCATGTCCTCATTCCTCCTCAGAAATGTCAGCCTGTGTATGCAGCGGTTGATTTGCACAGGCTGATTATGCAGCCGATTTCTAAAGTTTAAATGTCAATGAGAATGCCTGTGGCGGCAAGGGGTGTTATTAATCCCTTTGAAAAGCATGTCACATTACAGCGCCCACACCGGCGTGGCCAAGACACTGAGGGGATTAGAACGTGCTGGAAATGCCACAAGTAATTTCCTCTTTGTAACCAATCTGATAGAAGAACGAGCACTAGAACTAAAATAAATGAAAGCTTTTGACAATTCTTTGACATTAAACTTGAAAGTCTCATGAGATGTAAATCATAAAACAGAGATACAGTATATAAATGACGATATGCCATTGCTTTCTTCATTAGCCCAGCTTTTGTAGGTTAAGTAGCATCCAAACAGCCAGGCATTTCATTAATCTAACTGAACTGTCAAAACATTTTGGAAAGTTTCTCACAAATGTGCCCACATTTTGTTGTAATTGGTGGTGTATCTACTTATGAAAAGTTTCTCTTCTTATTCCATAGTGAAATCTGTGGGATACAGATACTAATGTCTGAAGAAACTACTTCTGTGTTTGATTTTGGAGAGGCTGGTGGCCAGTGTAGTGTTTTCTGATTTTGCTGTTGTGGTGATTTGTTTCTCTTCTACAGCATATTTGGTTACTACTGACAAAAACATGTTGTGATAAATTCACAATTATATAAAAAAATCAGTAAATTGGTAGAAAAGGAAAACACGGGCTTCTGATGTGCACTGACAGCAAAGGTATTCTGGATTAGGTGCATTTCATATTGAGAAGTATTTAAACATACTGTACATGAGCATTGGAATCAACAGAATTTATTGCACGTTTAATGGAGCTCTGTGAATTGAATTGTGACAAAACAGAAAAAGATACTTTCACACACCCCACATTCCCCCATCACACAAAAACTTGTACTCACAGCAGTGTGCTCTCATTAAAGCCACTTGCCATCTGTGTTTGGACTGTGTCTTGGAGTGCCAGTAAAAGCAGTTACTGCTCTCTGTATTAAAATTCATAACATTCAGACCTGAAGCCTGGTTTTTGGCTCAGATGACTGAGATTTCCTTGGTCTCAGCAGAAATTTCCTCACTCCTGCCTCTTTCCTTTCTGCAGCTGAGACTCAGTCTTCTATCTCATCTGCAGTCTTAATTGTCAAGCTTCAACTGCATTTCAATTAGGCACCCAATTTCCTATGGAGTCACTCGGGGGCTGCCCTACCCTTGTGGGCTGAATCAGAACCTCCAAATGACTGGTTCTGTCCACCTGCCTCACTAAGAGCTTTGCATGTTACAAGTAAAGATAGTAGGTTCTCCAACCTGATAAGGGTTGCTGGTCCACTGACACAATGCTACACAAAGCCTGCTTGTTGCTACACAACATACAAGGGAGTACAAAGGCATATGTTATGTAGAGCAGTGTGAAGATCAATGCTCTGCAGTACTGTATTCTTATCTACTTTTGTCGATGAATAGTGCTTTGCTTCCATCCGGTGTTAATCCCTTTAAATCGCTGGCCATCTCCAGTCTTACTCCAGACCTCTCCAGACACTGACTTTGATAACCTTCTGTACTGTGTATTTATGGCGCTAATTTACAGCTTCCTTTTTTGTATGAAATGTATCATTTTCTTGGTCTGTATCCATATCATTTGATTTTAATTCTGCAGTTCAGAATTGAATTAAAAATTACTGTGTAGAAATAAAAAGCCTCTTCTTTGAGCTCTTTACTTAAACAGTATATTATGATTTTACACTGTGAGAAAAACATGTGTTTCCCATGCTATATATAAATGACAGTAACCCTAGAATGCTCAGGTGATTTCTTTATATGTAAAAACACAATCATCTGAGCAGGAAGAAACTAAGTGATTCTTTTATGGTAAAGTTACTTTTGATGTCCGCGCCACTGACAGGAAGGTTGTTTTCCTAAACCTTTTTAAATTCAATTCACATAGCGTAAATCATAACAGCACCCACCTCCAGTCCAAGGTTATTTGACAATACCCTGGTGTATTATATGGTTGCTTTCAGAGGGCAGCTTTAGAGCTCTTTGTGAATCAGATTTTGAAAGGCGAACAACACTCACTATCACAAATCCCCGTATCACCCCAGTTTATGAGGATACCCAGAGGCGCAACAGAGCGGTTATCTGCTTTCTTAGTGTCCCAGTGTCGTGTGGTGATTACATTGTACACCCGGCCAAAGCTAATCGATTTAAGGGATTCCTTGAGTACTGTATTAAACAGAATCTACCTCTGCCGTAACTTCTTCCTGGACTAATTATTCTTCTGCAAAACCGATGAGAGGAGATGAGGAGAAATGAATATTAATAATACAGGGATTGATCAGTGTGACAAATTTCTCTGACAAATACTGCCTAGACCAAAGCGAGCCTTTTAATCCTGCAGTGCTTTGTCACAGGCATACTTTAGGGATGATGCTTTTCCCCTGGTTTCAAAAGGCCAGACGTGACACCTCTTTGCAATACGAGCTATGGTGTCACCTTGTGGTGGAGACCTGAAATAAAATGTGGTCTTGTTCCATGGAGAACTCAGTGAAGTGCTTGGACTTTCTGAATTTCAGTGTTTCATGTTTTAAAACTTTTATTCTTATCTGTCGCTCTCCTTAAATAAAACTGGCACCACAACATTTGACTTCTGTAAAAGATTTAGTCAGAACCTTCTTGCACCACATTGCCAGTCTTGTTTGAAATTGTTATAAGAACTGTGTTTCAGTCTTACATGAATACTTCTATATTATAGGTCAATTAAAAATATAAAACATGAATAATGCAATATAGTATGCCAGCAGTTTGGAATTTACAGACTCATTTATTTATTCTTAATGGTTGCTTAAATTGCAATAAAAATACAAAAATCCACAAGGGTTTTTAATATTTAAATAATACTGTTTATGTTTAACCATGCTGTAAGATGTCCATATTATCATTAGTTACCAATGTAGAAAAATTTGAAACTAGAAATTGAGTGCTTGAACTTCAAGAAGAACCTGAAATTAGATACCTGTCTGTAAAGTTTATTAGTTACATTTCAGCTAAATGCCTACTACTATGCCGTGCACAAAGCAAACGTTTGTTCAGCACAAAACTAGAAATATTAAAATGAGGAAGAAGGCTCTGAAATAAGTGGTATTCTACAGCATAGGGATGGAGAGGCTGTTTTTCAGTTGCTCGGTGAAGCGCTGAAGGTTTTTGAAGAGCTGGAAGAACAAGGATCCCCTGACAATCAAGATCAATTAAACCTAACAAAACATATAACCCGCGTTAAGGTCATTGTACCTTAGGCGTAATGAAGATCTTTTACCCTACAGATATTCCTGTTGCTAGTGCTAAAAGAAGATCCAGGACATGTTATTAAACTTGTTGGGCAGTTTATGTCACGGTACATGGTAAGCTGGGGAGCTGTGTTACTCTGCTGGGGTGTTTATACTGTGGTGTAGCAGAAGCAGAGTTGCAATGAATCTCTTATCTCCTGAAGTAAAAAAAAGTCATCGTTCTCCATATATCACCTCAAGGCCCGGTTGAAGGCCTCTGTTCTGGCAGGGAGGGTTTTCTCTATTCTACAACCTAGAGAGGCTTCAAGGCTGCAGCTGCTCCAGCTGTGGAAAAGACTCTTACGTGAGGTTTCCCACTGTCACACCCAGCCGTTGAGAGAGTTCACAGACTGTGAGAGATGTTGCTAAATGTGTATTTTGTCAAACTGACCTTGACTCAAAAGATGTCTTCCTGCAAGGCCAAGTCTGATTCAGGGCCTTAGCTGTTCGTGAGATCGCCACTAATAAACTGTGCAACATGGCAGAATGCACTAAAGAACAATGCAACAGGGAAGCCTTTTCACCCAGGCCCATAAGAACATGGGAGAAGGTTACAAATGAGGGGAGGGCTTTTAGCCCATCTAGCCTGTTTTGGTAAAAACCATTCTGGTCCATGTCAGCATGAACAGCTCAACACACTCAACAATTACGGCTCAAACATGCAAGGCCAAATAAAAATATAGCAGCGTGCTAATAGCTATAAAATACCAGAGCTTCACTGTGAACGTACTGCACAGTCAGGCTCTGTGTGAAAATATGACTGCCATTAAAACACCCATACTTGTACTTTAAAGTAAATCTAAGTTTATTATCAAGTATTAATTGTTGTTTTTAATGTCATTGGTATGACCGATGCCTTCACAGAAAGCTAGAAAGCTAGAAAGCTCCCAGTCATTTCTGTAACCTACTATACACACCTCTTTTAATTCAACTAGTTCAGGGCAGTGTAAAGGGTGTTGGGTCAAGTAATGGTGTTTGTCTATTAGTTTATGGACATTTTAAGTTGGTGTTTCTTTTTTCTCAACTAACCACTTTGGGAAAAATGGAAAGCCTCCGCTGGGAGCTGACGGGTACAATCCTGTGTTCGCCAGGAGGTGGAGAACTACCGCACAGCCATGCGGAAGATGGCAGAAGACATCATTGCCCTCCGGAAGAAGGTGGGAGGCCTGGAGTCGGACAACAGCCAGCTGCGCAGTGAGCTGAGTCTGCACCAGGACCTGGGCCGGACCCTGCTGGACGACACTGACATCGACGTCATGACCAAGGCTGAGATAGCTGACCGACTCGGTACCTTCTTCCCATCATGCTGACCTCGATCTGATTTCACCCAAGTCTGGAGGTTGTTCTGTATGGCTCCCTAACTTTCTAGCTGAGCCAGAAGTTCTGTTTGAATGTTAAACTGTAAAGATGTCTTATTTATTTTTTTTACATTTACTTGTTAGAAAAGAAGAGCTTCAGATAGAAACGTACCCACTGCTAATGCATGCCGGTTGCGAATGCACTGCTGTTTGTGCCACCTTCAGATAAGGCAGCTCATTTTGGTCGGAGTGGGGTATGATAAGCAGTGCTGCAATGAATCTCTTATCTCCTGAAGGACAGAACCTGACCTCGAAAAGCAGCCCTTTGCCGAAAGGACTTCTACCAGAATGTGTTCATCAAAGAGCTCAAAGATTGCTTGGTTAATTTATTTTGTGAGAAATATATTTTTTATTTCTGGAAGTTTTAATGAATCTGTAGAAGTTTTCTTTCTCTATTACAAAATCAGCATCTCTCAAAGTGATTGGATTTAATGGCCTTCTGAACGGTAGAACACCACGGTTTTATCCTGGAGTTTTGTTTCTGTCTCATGTGAGCTTGCAATCCAACATTGCAGGGAAGCAGGCTGTGGTGACAAGTGTGTTCATAAATTCTTTAAATGTAAATGCTTCCAGGTGGATATTGATTGCAAGATGTACTGTACTTTGGCTAACAGACAGTAGTTTCTTTGATTAAAGTAGCAATTGAAATTGTATGATTAGGGATAGGTCCAAGTGGACACTATGTAAATTAAAATATCCCAGCCCTGTCTATGTAGAATGTACAGTATGTCCAGCATTTTTCCTAATGGTGATTGCATATCATTTTAGAAGTGTCCCTCAGTTATCTCAGTACGTCTTACCTTGTACTTTATTGCAGCATCACTAAAATTCAAGCTGGCAAGTGAGACAGCTGAAGTAACAACCCTCAAGGACAAAATCCAACAGCTACAGAATGAGTTGATAAGGGTAAGCACCCCCCACTACTTAAGAATTACAGACTGACTGTAAACTCAGTTTTACATGTGAGTCACGGGACAGAACTCAGAAATGTTCTTCTCAAATTATAATTAGAAGTGGGTTTATATTAATGCATGCCCAGTTCCGTTTAATGCAGTTGTGGTTTTGTTTTCTGCCACACTGTTATGAGGTATCCCATACATTCCTTTCACCTTCGTAAATTCTGACAGATTTTGTAAAACAGTAGTTCTTATTTGAGCATCAAGGAACTGTTTGTGCTAACAGCATTTGTAACGTTCTCACCATGTATAATAAACAGGTTTAAAATATCTCTGCCATTTCAGAAATCAGCCTGTACTTCCCTACAGCACTGTCCTCAGCCTCTCTTCTGGTCTTCCTCTGGAGGATGTGCTGAATTTGGGGGTTATGTTTTAGTATGCACTCATGTCTGCTATTGCAGTCAGCTGAGGATAATCATTTCATTTAATCCCTGGCCTTTATTAGAATCCATTCCTCCAAAAGAGCCCAATCATTCTTTAATGATTGCATTACAAAGGCCTCAGTTAGAGCCTTCTGTAAAGATGACACCGTACCTGTTTGCAGCATTGTTGTGTTGAGGTCATGGGTAGAGTGTCCAGATTTTGTCTTCACAGAAGAATGACTCTGAGAAGGAGCTGCTGAGACTGCAGAGAGCCCACCAGCAGCAGCAGGCTGTACTGCAGAAGTACCAGGCCCGGGTGGCTAAGATGAACAGCCTGGAGGCCACAGTGCGGCAGCAGGAGAAGGTATAGTTCTCTGTATTTCCACTCCACACTGGACATGGCAGGAAACTGGGCCAGCTGAGTGCTTCCATTGCTCATTTGTAAGATGGTCATATGGTGCCATGTATTTTCCTGTTGGCCAGAGCTCACACAATGACCTATGGTGGAAGGTTTCCTACCAATATGTTTCCTACAAAACTTTACTGATATTACAGTTCAGTGGAACACTAATTCATGGGAGAAATCCCAGGTTTGAGAGGTTCCTTCATGCTTATAAAAATATAATCTAATTCCAGCAAAAAGTCTTCCTTTAAATGATTTATTTTTATACTCACTTAGTCAAGCTCTACAAACCATTTTGGAATATGGTTCAGAAGAGAAAAAAAAAGATTTTGTTAGATATCTCAATGTTTCCTTCTCTGCAAATAGGAAATCAAGTCATGTTTCTTTGCTGCAGGTGATAGAAAAAATGGAAAAGGTTTTGGACAGTAAACTGAAAGAGAAGAAAAGAGATCGAGGGAACACTATGACTAAACAATCAGGTGGGGCTCATAAAACTTACAAACAGGATATCTAAACAGAAAACTAATTAAGGAAAACACCCCAGAAAGTCCTTCTATTTTCAAAATATCCTCCTCTCCAGAATATTACTAGATAAACACCAGTTCACCTGCCCATGGACTTTGTGATACATCAAGATTGTTAAGAAACTTAAGAAAAGTTTAAGTGAGCATTAAATCGCACACAAAAACTAGAAAAAAAGCTGAGCCTTCTTCAACTGTGAGGGAGAGAGAGGAAGCAGGGATATAAAGCACAGGGGAACATAGCACAGAACAGGTGAGAAAAAGTTTCCAAACAAAGGAAGAACTGGGGAAGAGAAATCGGTCATGAATGGAGAGGTTTATATATCATTGGAGGGGTGATCCAGGTTAAAGGAAATATTTTTGGGGGAGTTGGAGCCCTGAAATCCCTATAAAAAGATGCAAACAGAAAGGTCAGTGAAATCATGGCTGGGATTTGTGAAATGGGGAACTATCAACTGGGAGAAATCTTTAAAAATGCTCAGTTGCGTTTGGGACTGAAGTGGGGTAAAGTCTATTGAACCTACTTGATTTAAAGCTCTTTTAGTACTGTCAATTCTTCTTTTTACTTGAGAGAAGGAGCAGTTGATGACAACAGGAGGAAAGAGATGGAGTCTGCTCTGGCTGCAGAGAACACACGTCTCAGAGGGGAGCTGGAGAAACTGCGCTACCAGACTGGACCCCTCGTGATACAGCAGCCAGCACAGGTGGTACAGGTGTCCCATGGACAGGCTGAGAACTGCAGCTCATTTACTCGTTGGTCTCAATACTGTAGTTGTGGTGAAGTATTTTCTGACTCCTGTCTACATAAACAACAATACATACCATGCTTCTAAAAAGTACAGTGTACAACTGGATTTGTAAAATCACATTTTATTTTGCATTCTTTGTTCTGTTTATACACTGTATCAGTTGCCATTCTTTTGTGGATTTTAACTTTGTTTGGCATGTACACATCAGATAAAGCCTTTTGCTAAAATGTCCTGGACGTGTTTCTCGATATTGCCAATGTAAATATTATAAGCTGTCAAGAACAGCTGCATTCCAGGTGCCACTCATGATCAACTAAAAATGCAGAGCTTCTTGTCTTCAGCATCTGATAGTTGAGAGTAGATTTATTTGAAAAATTGCTGCAAGCACTGAAAACATCTTCAAATACCCTTGCAAGGAATCCATGCTACAAAGGAAATGCCAACACTGTACAAGCCATCCTTTTAGCTTTTAGCTTTTATCAATATACTGTATCTCTTATTCTAGACCTTCAAATAGTTTCATCTCTTTTTCAATTGATCTGACTTGACACCTGTATCCAGACACAGGACCCATTCCCAGACAATGAGAAGTTGAGTTTGCTGACCCGCCTGGAAAAAGCTCAGGCCCGCATACAAGTGCTGGAGAGCCAGGTAGGCCTCATCGTTAATGAATGTGCTTTATTATAACTAGTAATAATAAGAATCTATTATTGGATTCAGAAAGACGTTTATCTTGAAGTATCACATACTTTAAAATGTTATGCCTCATAGAAATGGTATTAAAAGTTAAAAGCAAATGTGCCGGCTACCGAAGCCTCTATCTGATTGTGTCTCTCTCTTCCTGCCCCCTTCCTGGACAGGAAGTGTTAATGGTCAGGTTAGAGCTGTCCTCTCTGACGCTTGTGTCTCTCTCTTCCTGCCCACCTCCTGGACAGGAAGTGTTAATGGTCAGGTTAGAGCTGTCCTCTCT